CATTCATATCATTCAGTGAGACTATTTCCTTCAACTTGCACTTAAAAAGATACCCAAATAGATTACCATAATTTAGTATTCAGACTTTACAAAGGCCAAGTGACACTGCTCAACTCCCAGTTCTCTTCTGCCTATGCAGATACATACCAAAACCCCTTTAACAAGAAGGGGTTTTTTAAGTGGTACTAATACCCTTTATGTTGAAAAGAAACTCTTTCAAAGCATTGAGTGGAATAAAAAGTAAGTACTGAAAACTTAGAAGAACAAGTAAAATATCTTTAAACTGTGATAGGAGGAATAAACAAAGGATTTTAAAGAGACCAGGGCACTTTGTCTCTTGAAGGCTGTACCTCTGCAATTTACAGCAGCCTCCTTACTTCTTCTTAAGTTAAAAATAAAATCAATTATACCAACAGCCTAAACAGACAACCGGTCTTTTGGTTAAAACTGTCTGTGGGTACACAGAGACTAGCATACAACATCAAACTTCTATCTCTTCTTCACTTCAATTTCAACTTCACAAACCTCAAAAAAAAAAGTAGAAGAAAAAAATTAGTCTGACATATAAAAGATGCAGGTTTCCAATGTATGCGGACACTGACTTTCATCCTATGCTAGACTTATAGCTCTATGCTTACTTAGACCTGCTTTTACTCTGTCATTGATCTGTGTCAATTCTAAACTGACCTGAAAAGGAAAGAGTAGGTCAGCATCTGAGAAGAGGATGGTGGGCAGCACACCACCTGCATAAAGAGGCATATTCAGCTCACACATATACAGGTGTGTGACCTCTCCAGTGAACTGAATGAAAGGAGCACATCTACTTGCAAAGTAGAATCCGCTCATAAGAAAAAAAGTGGCAAGATTAGAACTGTAGGAAAGATTAAAACTTTCAGAAAGCTAAACATTCTCTCTCTAATCCCTATCAACCCACGTGCAGTTAAGATACTGTCCAGAAGTGAAATTTTGCACAACAGAAAAATTAGGGAGATTGCTATTTCAGGAGTAAAGTATCATCTTTGCTCTATGAGATTCCCAAGAATCTTCAATCCAGCATCCTTCTCCCAAAAGTTTATTATCAACTGTTTCATCAAAACATCGTTTAGAAACCCTTTCTTTTCCAACACAATTCTGTTTTAAAGGTTACTAAACTGCTCTAGAAGTCTGTCATGTTACAGTTCATTAACTGTCACTGGATTTTACCTTACTGTTATTTAATGACAGAGGATGCATATATCTTACTGATTTTATAAATATGAGGTTCTGAAATTAGGAGATCTTTAAAATGGCTACCATTTTATCTAACAGCAGAATCTCTTCTTTTTCTTATTAATTGCAAAAAAAAAGTTTTCAGACAATTTCAAAATGCTCAAAAAGTCAATTCTGACATAGTATGAGAAGTTGCAATTCTATGAAAGACACCAAGTCTATATTTGGTCTAAAAAAAAAGAGTCATCTTAGGCCTGATTCCAGTCAGTGGAGTCACAGTTTTACAGTCAACATGGTAGGTACAGATTTCATTCAATGTCTTAAGTAGTTTTCGTGGCTCTGTCTGCTATTATGAAAAGAACCATAAATGTATACAAAAAAATTTTAAATTCTTTATCCCGCATCCATTAAATGTCTCACAGGATTCCAGGCCACCTCCTCACACATGTAAGTAAAAGCTGAAGAATAAAAAGCAAGGACTGATTTTATCTCAAGGTTATGGAAACATCATTAAACCATAAAACCATGGTGTCAAAAATTTATCTTGACATTAGAAAACGTCTCAGTGGAGTTAAAGCCTTATCACGTAATTAAATGCAGATAATTCTGTTTAATACTGAGGATCAGAATGTAGAAACAGTCACAACCTTGATAAATGGCACGTTAAATAAACTGGAGCTTCCGAAGAGTGATCAGATAGCAAGAATGAAAAAAATCCAACTCTAGCTCAAAGGAAAGTTGATACAAAAGCAAATTGTCTAGTAAGGACAGGGCAACACTGTCAAAAAGGAAGATACATTACCCTTCTGAAACACCTCCCCTATCCAGTACAGCTGATATTTTCCACAGGTTTTATGCAAACTAAAAATACATTGGGGTCAAATTCTGTTCACATGGGAAGAAATGGCAAAACTTTCTTTGATTTTCGATGGGAAGTTTCCACAAGTTTGCACTCAAGGGGACTCTCTGCCCACTAAGTGTCACCAGCAAGTGAATAAAACTATAATTAATTTTCACAAAGACAAGAGCAGTGGCCAGCAGAGAAGGAGGACTGTTTAAAAGAGCTTCCGAGAAGCTCTTTTGACCTAAATCAGGTTGGAGATTTTCCAAGAACTATCTGGAATTTAGTCATCTCGCTGCAGGACCGTTTTTCTCTTTTGTCTGTCTGCTTATTTTCCTTCTTGAGGATCCAGCATCAGAATAAAAAATGACCTCTGACTGGATCTTTTTGTGGCATGCGATGAAAGAACTGATCCAAAAAGTTCAATGTTAGAATAAGCACCTACTGAACTTGAAAGGAATGTTGGAAGAGGTTGGGAAAACAAGATTACATCTTGAAGTCATGTATCTGTAGTATTTCTTTATTCTATGACCACACAGAGAAGTCATCACAGCTGGTCTTTTTCAGTTACACTACAGAGAAGAGACCGCATAAGTCTTTTATCAGAGACTATACAGTTCCAAAGCCTTAAATTTTACCTGCGGGGAATAAGCATCCCTATTCAGCTTAAGGAAAAAAAACCACCAGTATTTTTTCCATCGACATTCAACTTATCTTCAAAAAAAAATTCTTTGGGAGTAGCAGAAAATGCCTGCTGCTACCTCACTAGGGATGGGGGCATATTAAAATCATATTTTAATATAATGCCATACTTCATAACACGCTTATCTGACAACCAAATTGGGAAGGCTACAAACTACCACATGGAAAATTACAGTGACAATAGAGCTTTCCAAAAAGCATTGTGCTTGACAGAACTCTGAACAAGATACTAATTTTACTCACATGTAAAGCATATGGGTATATTTAGTCGACAGCTCCTTTCTCCCAACCAACTCACCCGTTCAGTCAGATTCTTCTGTCCCTTCTGTCAATTCTTTTTATTATTAGTGATATGAAGTACCTGTACCCATGATAGGTCTATGTCATTTGCTCCCCATTTTCCTAAGGCAGACTATCACACAGACTCAGTAAAATGAGCAAAAGAAGGAAGTGAGACCTGCTTTAATGGTCTGAGAGCCTCTGAATTTCCAGAAGAAAAAAAAAAGCAACAACTTAAAAACTCAGTACTTTGCAGTACATTCAATAGGGTAGGGACAAATTCACAGTCAACGTAAGGAATACGTTGAGTTAAAAATATCTTTGTGGTAGCAAAGCTATAGTGGGACAAATGTTGTCATTAACAGGAGCATTCCTAGTTCTCCAGTTAACAGGATATGGAGCTGGGAAGTCTTGACTTTCACTCTGCCCTTGATGCCCACTTGCATCACCTTGGTAAGATACATGGGAAACAAAAGGAGGTGCACATATGTGCAGATACTTGTGCATGCAGGTACATAAAAAATTTAAAAAGCGTCCTTATTTTCTTCACCAGTGCTCCAATATACTGAGGAACCATCACGCTGCTCCTGTAAAGCCACCACGGCCAGCCTCCACCTTAAGCTTATTATTACATAGAAAGCAACAACATTTGTGAAGAATTTCTTGCAAGCTGCGACTCAGTTCAAACCAGTTAGGCAGCGATCATCTTCTGATACTCAGCCTTACCTTCAGCTGTACAAATTCTTTAAACCAGATAACACAGCGTACGTGTTTCATGTGAAATGCATCTGAGAAAGTTCAGGCCGAACCAGCGGAACCAGTGTGCCAACACAAGACAGTAAAAGTTTGAGTGGAGACTAGGTAGTGCATAAGGTTTCTATCTATGAGTCCTTTTGACTGGGTGTATTTCAGCCTGCGTGGTTTTTCAGGGAAAACTGCAACTTTGCGTCACAGCAGTCTAGTCACCAATAAAAAAATCCAGAAAAACACCACAGTTGATTATATTACTCCTACTCCTTCAGCCCATAGGAGAAAAGATTCCACAATTGTGCAAACAGATTAAAAAAAAAAAGTAAAAAATCATATATTGCATTTTTATTTAATTTCTTTAAAAGAGGCTCTTCCTTTTGTTTATATCAGAAGAAAAACATCTAAGAGTTTGACTTACTTCATAAGAAAATGCTTATTAAAACAACTAAAACATGCATGAGTTAAGATAAATCTTATGGTAGAATTCATCAACCAATTAGAAATCAAAAAAATTAAATCAAGTTAGAACTATGACTATTCTCCATATGAAGTACTTCTGCTAGCATTGCTCAAATGAAGCTTTCTGAATTGAAAGCAATAAAGTATGTACAGCAAAAGCCAACAATATTTAGTTAGTAACATAACAAACATTTTACATGTTGTGGAAATTAATTTCAAGTACTTTACATGTAGCCTTTTAGAATAGACAATCCACACGGCCCCTGAGAAAGCAGTCTGTGAGATACAGTACTGTCAGGAACACCCATTAGCACATACTACCAAAGGACAAAACAGAATGGGAGTATATCTGCAAATATAAGATATTGCACTTTGCAAAAAGATTCTAGGCTGAAGAGTGATGCTATATGCTCTTTATCACTGTGGAAAAATTACTTAGGTTGATTGACTCAATTGTTTTTGAACTTGTTTGGTTTTTAATGCAACTTTTGTTTTTTCCCCAGGAGCTTTACCATGATAATTTAAAAAGAGAAAAGAAAAAGATATCCTCTGGCTGCTGCTTTAATTTTGAAGTGTTACAATTATATAAAAGCTATACTCTGCTTAAATACTGACTGAATGGAAAAAATAAATAGTTTGATTTCACTTTGTCATATATCACATTCTGGATGTATCTACTGAACTCCCACTCAAAAATTAATCAAGAACACAAGGAAAGGATAATTTATAATTTGTCAAGCAAACACTTTTTAACACTTACTTTTGTGAAGATCTGAAAAAAGTCAATTGAAGGTGGCAAGTGAGACACATCCTGGATCTCCGTTTTCAGATACAGTTGCAACGTCTGTGCAAGGTGCCTGAGTCCGTCTTTCATTTCTTCACTTAACCGTTCAATATCTTAAGGAGAAGGGAAAAAAAGTATATCGTATCGTAAACAGAACCTTTCACCAACATTTTGAAAATGTCCAATGGCAGCCATACAGTCTAGACATTTCCAGTCCCAGAATTAATCTTGACAGAGGGCAATTTTGACAGAGGGTGGACATTTGTCATTTTTTATGACAGCTACCTATCAACACACAGAACAATTTATCAGGTTGCTACTGCCAAATCATATGAATACAATGGTGAGTTAAAGATCAAGAGCCAATAGATAAAGCAGATGTGTAAGCAGATGTAAGACATTACTTATAAAAATTAGGCATCTGGGTTTGTAACATTACAAATGTGCTTGAAAGTTTATGCAGCAGTACCTTCCTCCTTGCAGCAATGTATATTTTTTATACTGTATTCACCATAGATGTGTCAGAAACACTTTATGCTGGCAGATCAAAAGGGAAAGTATTTTAGAGACAAAGGTAGTTTCATACACAGCAGCTGGTAAATGGAATGGATATGGAAGAATATTAAGCAAATATCAGTTTATTAAATACCATTTATTCATGCTTTACAGATAGGAATCCTGAAGCAGAAACATAGTGCCTTATTTTCTAATGCATGACCTAATCATGCATGCATCAGGTCACTGAAAACATGGAAAGTGAAACTCAGCTGCCCTAGTAAGTTCAGTGCCTGATTACCTGCTTCACATTTTCTTTTTCCTGCCAGTTAGCGCAAAATGAATAAGGCCTAAATGGAGAATGTGAAGGTGAACAGATTCAAACATCAGTCTTAAAAAAGGGCAAAGAGGGTTATTATGCAGTATGAATCAATTTCATCTCTGCATAATGGTGAACTGTTATTTTATTTACACATCTATCCTTAATGGGAATGAAAATAACCTTTTACCAAGAAACCTTCTTCCCTGTACTTTAGATCCAAGCTTGTTGGATCTCACTTAAAAAGAGGATGCAATTAAAGCAGATGTCACTGGGTTTGGTTAAACAGCCATCTAGTGTTTATGATGCTTGGGCTTCTTGCTCTATCCCACCCACCATCCCTCTGCTTGAAGGTACTGGCTATTTTGCAGGTTGTAAATTGGCTATCATGGAGTTTCCATTTCACACACACCACACAAGTGAGCTCCTTTAATAATCTCCTGTGAACTACTTCTGGCAGAGCACTAAATGCTGGCTTACTAAAATGGCCGGTACCCATGGTTAGCTACCAGCCAGGAGTCTTCCAGTGGAACCAGCTACAATTTGCTTCTAGTCTGGTATGGATGTCCTTATTTGCAAACTCTTTGGTTCTGTTTAGACTTTCTCTGGAGCCACTGAGCGCCATCCTGGTTAGCTAAATGATGCAATCCTACCAGTACACTGTATTATGGCAAACGTACCCCTCTTCATGCTACATACAGAGTTCGAGAAGCATCTATGTTATCTATCATATATTGTTTCCGTTTCAGCATAAAGTAACACTTTCCAAGATCTGCTCCCATTCCAATGGTCAGTCATTGCTGCTGAAATGCCGTCTACAAGCCATGCCTGGGGTGACTCTGCAACGTGCTGAGCAAGCAATGACTCCATAGGAATCTTAAGGTGGTCTGTCCCTGCTAGGGTTAGGGAAGGAGAGACATGGTCTCCCAGAGCAATCAGATTCAGCTCCTCACAAAGTTCAAACCAGTTAGTACTAAGAATGCTGAGATATGTCCCTCCATACCTGGCACAAAGCCTATTTAAGCAAAGTATTTGCCTTTTTATAGCTACCCACAGTGTTACCCATGTGCATCTTAACAGCATGGACATTTGAGGGTGATCCTGCAAGTCTGAATGAATGTACATATTAGAAATCCAAATGTGTACTCTTCACAATGTATGGAAATCTCTGGTACAGAAAAGTATCGTATCTATGAGGACTGTGTCTTCAAGAAAAGCAGCAAACTTTTAGATGACTGGAAAACTCAAGTTTAAAAAAATTTAAAAAAAATCATAAACATACATTTGCATTTCTTATATAATATTCCTTTGAAACTAAAGATGCTTTTTCCTTCAAATGTAATTTTTGAAGATGTCACGTCATTCACCTTAAACTACTTGACGCACATTGCAAAATGTATTATGACAAAGAGAGGAAGGCATGATTTGCTTCACTTTTAGCAAATAAAACTCCTCTAGAACGGAGAAGAGGAATCGTGTAAGCTGCACAGTATAAATGGACACTGCAGTTTAGGACAGATGTGAACAAAAATACTGGAACTTCAGGGAGGATTGACAGAGACAGGAGCAAAATGCAATTATTCACGTTGGAATCTGCCCAGGACATCAGAACTAATGATCCCAACAAAAAGTCCCACAGAATCTTTAATGGCAAATGATCAAGACCTGGTTTTCACAGCACATCAAGAAGCCAAGGCCAAAAGCAAAGTGAAACAAAATTGGTGAATGTTTTCACTTTGTGTTTTTAAGAAACTTTTTTCAATTGTGTAATTTCTCTCCCTGGTGTGGGAGAAAAAAATGCTATAAAAGGCCTGTGGAAAGTTTTCTAAATAAGGCACGGGGATTTAATTACGCAGTTCTGATCCTGATACAAGTAAAGTAGCAAAAAGTCTGCCCAGAGTACACCACACAAACTCTTTTCTGCATACTGAATTGTGGTAAGTGAAAGCAAAGTTTTTTTCTGAATGATCGTAACAGATAGTGAGCCTGTAGAACCACGTAAGTAAGGAATTGTCTTATAATAAATGAGAGCTAGCAAAAGTAACGATGCACACAGACACCCCTCCTACTTAATCTGAGTTTCAGGGTACACAATGAATTTGAAGGAACTATGGAGCTGGGAATAGAACTCTGTAAAGGGCTAGATGCCGCCACATGTTTTTTGTTTGTTTGTTTTTAATATATGTATTACATATTTTATCAGATAATTATTCAATAGGTATATAAAACTTTATATGCTTTTATTCAGTTTATACGTCACCCACACTGAAAATCACCCAACTGTATAAAGTAACATTGAAAAGTAATAGTGTAAAGGAGACTGAGACAGCATAACAACAATAACAATTTTCAAATATTTTGGACTTCCAGGAAAAAAAGAAAAGAAAAAAAAAAAGAGGAGTATCAATTAGAATTCTATCTGTCATATGTCTGATTAGTGTTGAAACACTATCTTCTATTATACAGATGCTTCCTGAGAAGTTTTTTGCTTCAGAAGATCACAACCTGTATTTCTAGTTCACGTGATTCACTCCAATGAAATCTTTTCTCCTGTATACTTCGACCTCTAATGAAAATGCTTTTCCGACTTTCCTATAGATTCTACCAAGTACCAAAGGAAAGTAAATCCTTATCAACACCATCTGTAAGTTGTGCAGTAAATGGGAAAAAAGTTATGAAATAACGGTTGCTTTTCGAGGATACAGAGGCAGCAAAAAGCATCACAGCTACTACAAGTTGTCACACCATCCCAAAAACACTCTTTTGGACTATTCTAATTGCAAAACAATAGAGACCATCTATTCCCTCTAGCAAGGAAGCTGTGAAAACAGCAAAAAGAAAGAGTTAGCCAAAACCTTTACATAAGATTATGCAACCGTCATAGGCCATTTGTACTGTATTCTGTAAAGTATCAACTTCAGTTAATGTCTAGGAGTCCTGAACACCTTGCACTTTGGAGTTAAGAAGATTACACAGGAATTGTCATCAAAGCTCTTAGAGTAAATACAGATGAAACACTAGATGTGGATCTGTCATTTGCGTCCTCCTAAACTAACTTGCTATGGACCAGCTGTTTCTGTATCAGTGAGAGGACAGTCATCCCACCTGTATCACACGCCATATCAGCATTTCCTTCAGAATGAGAATTTTAGTAGACGCTTCTGGCCATTTTAGATTTTTGTACCATTTAGCCACTGCAGCTCAGGCCTGTTCAAAACCAAGCTTCTCTCCAGACAACTTATCACACTATTCCCCTTGTCTCCAGTCAAGTCAAGGGAAGCTGAGATCACCTCCTGAGGGGTACTGAGATACCTCAGTTTGTATGGAATTATCAGTTACACAAAAATCTTTGCCTACACTAGAGAAAACTGCTGTACAAGTGATCAATATTTAATTTTTAAAAGGAAACTCTTCCCTTCCCTCCAGTTCCTCCTGTGCCACTGTGCAACCAGCCATTGATACAACAGAGCACCGTAAAGAATGTTTCTCCCTGGATCCCAGCAATGCCATGAAGCATAGAAGTCTGTAGTCTTCATCATTTTAACTTCATTTGAAGGATCTGGAAATGCTGCTCTTAATTCAGATACTCATGTAATTCCCCATAAACCTTTGTTACATGATTTGAGAATATCCATGGCAGAAAATCCTGATGTTTTCATAGAATCATAGAATCATTAAGGTTGGAAGAGACCTCCAAGATCATAGAGTCCAACCGTCAACCCAACACCACCATGCCCACTGAACCATGTCCCTAAGCGCCTCATCTACACGTCTTTTAAATACTTCCAGGGATGGTGACTCAACCACTTCCCTGGGCAGCCTGGTCCAATGTTTAACCACTCTTTCAGTA